TATCTTTTTTTATCCTTTTTCTATTCAGGTACCTGACTCGTGTCAAGTTATGGGAATTCTTTATATATTCTGTATGCAAGTTCTTTGTCAGATAAAACCCAAAACCAAACCCACTGCCATCAAGTTGATTGTGGCTCCTAGTGGCCTTAGAGGACAGTGTTGAACTGCCCCACAAGATTCGGAGGCGGAACTCTTTATAAAAGCACAGGCTCATCTTTCTTCTGTGGAGCAGCTGGTGGCTTCAAACTGCTGATCTATCGGCAGCCCAATGCTTCACCCACGGCATTACTAGGGTTCTTTGTCAGATACGTTGTTGTTGTCTGGTGCCATCAAGTCAGTTCTGAGTTGATTATGTGTGCGCACAGCACAATGAAACGCTGCCCCATCCTCTCATCTTTCTTCTGTGGAGCAGCTGGTGGCTTCAAACTGCTGATCTATCAGCAGCCCAATGCTTCACCCACGGCATTACTAGGGTTCTTTGTCAGATACGTTGTTGTTGTCTGGTGCCATCAAGTCAGTTCTGAGTTGATTATGTGTGCGCACAGCACAATGAAACGCTGCCCCATCCTCTCATCTTTCTTCTGTGGAGCAGCTGGTGGCTTCAAACTGCTGATCTATCGGCAGCCCAATGCTTCACCCACGGCATTACTAGGGTTCTTTGTCAGATACGTTGTTGTTGTCTGGTGCCATCAAGTCAGTTCTGACTTGATTATGTGTGCGCACAGCACAATGAAACGCTGCCCCATCCTCTCAGTTTTTACAATTGAGCTTATTGGTGCTGCCACTGTGTCCGTCCATCCCACTGGGGGGTCTGCCTCTTTTTTGCTGACTTTCGACTTTATCAAGCATGATATTCTTCTTTAGGGACTTTGGTACCCTCATGATAACATGTCCAAAGTATGAGAGAGGAAGTCTTGACATCCTGGCTTCCAAAGAACATTCTGGCTGTACTTCTTCCAACAGATTTGTTTGTTCTTCTGGCTGTCCATGGTACTTTTATTCTTCTTCTCCAATACCATCGCTCAAAATGCATCAATTCTTTTTTTAAGTTTTTATTGTGAATTGAGTAAAAATTTACAGGGCAGATCATCAGTTTTACATTCAACAAATCATATACTTTGTTTCATTACAATGATTGTAATCTCCTCCTTGTACCATCAGTTAACAGTATTTCTCTGTATTCATTTTTTTTTTTTTAAACACTTAGGCATATATAATAATTTACACCGCCAAAGGGCACATTCTGCAAGTTTGTCTCCTGGCCGCCAGCTCTCAGTCCCTCTCTTTCCGTGAGTCCTCAACTGCTCCCTCTCTCCATGTCCCCATTTCTGCCTCCATCTTTAGTGTTGCTTCTCTGGATAGGGTCCCATTCCTTTTGTGCTCTTCTCCCTTGATGGTCCTAGGGTCCTCTGTTTCTGGACTATAAGATTAACTACCCATCTGTTTTTGTTATAAAACTTCTACCTTTACAATTGTGACAGTCGTAATTAGTCATGATAACAATTAATCATTATTGAATCATATGAATCTTATTCCCATCTCTTTTTACCGGACCCATCTAGACAAGATGAAAACTATTCAGTGATTCAGTGGGGACTCTTATCTTCTCCCCCCGCCACTTTTAAACTAAACTCCCTCTTGAAACCTACCTTGTAAGCCAGTCACTTCATGCCTTTATCACCCCCCCATTTTAGGTAGCCAGTGGCTAAGTTATTCATCCTTATCTACCCTGTATACAGAGGGAATAGCATTGATACTTGATGTGAAGACTCCGTCCCTCTCTGTTGGTATTTTTTGAGCTACTGCCTCCATGAATATAGGTCAAGTTCATCAAATTATAGCAATTTACCCTCATTTCCTTAATCAAAATTTGTTTTCTTTTTTATCTTCCTCCAGTGGAGTTCTGATTATCAAGCCATTGAGGCTAGGTCAAATGGGTTCTGTCTGCAAGTTTGGATGTTCTTGTGTGTCTCCCCTCACTTCATATCAGCTGGATGCTTCGCTCTTAGCTCTAGCCCTCTGGGACTATGTCTTGTCCATGGGCTCAAGTATCCCCAGGTCTCACCACACTTTGGATCAACTGGTCCTTCCTCTTCTCTCTCTCATCTCCAGGTCAATGGGAGTCAATGAAACGTGGTTGAACTCAGCCCATTTCTTCATTGTTGCCTTTCCCACTCCTCCATTCACCCATAGACCAGTGTGGTTGCTAGCAAGTTTACTTGCCTGTTCATGTGTTCCCTTCCATTCACCCATAGACCAGTGTGGTTGCTAGCAAGTTTACTTGCCTGTTCATGTGTTCCCTTTGAGTTTTCAGTCTTATTCTTGTAGCAGCCAATCATACTGCCATTTTGTTTTGGGTTTTTCCTGATGATCTTTTTTGTTGTTCTAGCTGTTCCAGGTTGGTCTGCTTGTTCTTGCTAGTGGGAATGTCCCACCTCAGAAGGTTCTGGATGGGGCTCAGGATTCCACCTAAGGTCCTACACACTGTAAAGGCCCTGCAAGAGGCCTATTTCACTGGGCAAGTTGTAGAACCCCTTTTAGGTATTCCAATTAGTTATAGGCTGCAGACAGGCTTACAAGCCTTCTGTAATCATGTTTCCTGACATTCCTTTCTATTCCATTCAAGTGCCTATTTTACAATAGTAGGCAAGGGAAACCAATATTCATAAGATAGTCATCTTAGTATTATTTCCCCTCTTCATACTATGCCTCCGTCTCTGTATCACAGAGCCAGCCCATTGTTCCAAATTTGAGCAAAAATACATCAGTTCTTCTATGGTCATCTTTATTCATTTCCCAGCTTGAATATGTTGTTGTTAAGTTCTGTCAAGTCAGTTCCGATTCATAGTGACCCAGTATAGGGTTTCCAAGGAGTGGCTGGAGAGCTTGAACTGCCAACCTTGCGGTTCAAATGGACTTGCAGTTCAGTGCATTAACCCACAGTGCCACACCAGGACTCATGCATATGAGGCAACTGATAATACCATGGTCAGGCACACCTTAGTTCTCAAACTGACAGCTTTGCTCTTGAATGCTTTAAAGAGGACTTGTGTGGCAGATTTGCCTAACGCAGTATGTTGTTTGATTCCTTGACTGCTGTTTCCATGAATGTTGATTTATCAGGTACACATATTGTAAATGTCTTCTCTTGACAGTCACATTTTTATTCTTTTAATGATCTTTATGTGAACAAAAGTTCTTATATAATCCAGTTTTTCAGATTTTTCTTTTTATGATTAACTTCTTTGTATCTTTGGAAGAAATCTGTTATCTATTCCAAGTCACAAAGACAGTCTCTTATTTTTCTTATCCCAAACTTTATTATTATATCTTTCTTATTTAGAGCTGTCTTCCATGTGGAAATGAATTTTGTGTTTGGTGTGAGGCAAGGGTATATATGCACTTTTCCTATATACGTACTCAATGGGCCCATACCGTTTACTATGAGAAGGCTACCTGTCTTCCTGGTGTGTTGTCCTTGCCTTAAACCATCATCTTGTACAAATGGATCTGCCTTTGGATGCTCTCTTTTCTGTTCTGCTGCTCAGTGTTTCTATCTTTGCACCAAAGCCATGCTGTCTTAGTACTGTAGTTTTGTCATAGGGCTTGATAGTTGGTAGGCAAGTCTTCCAGTTTTATTCTTTGTCAAGAGCATCTTGGTTATTCATGGACTTTTGTATTTCCATGTGAATTTTAGAATAAGTTTGTAAATTTCCACAAGAAAATCTACTAGATATTTTATGGAGATGGTATTTAAACTACATTCCTTCTATTTGAAAAAGAATAAATCCCTTTATAATAATAAGGGAAGGATTGTTGTTGTTAAGTACTGTGGAGTCGGTTCTGACTCATAGTGACCCTGCACAGAGTTTCTGAGGCTGTAAATCTTTAGGGGGGCGGGGGGGGGGGGGGAGGAATCTTTGTGAGAGCAGAAAGCCTCATCTTTCTCTCGCGGAATGGCTGGTAGTTTCGAACTGCCGATCTTGAGGTTAGCAGCCCGATTCATAACCACTACACTACCAGAGCTCCTAAGGGAAGGGTTAGTACAGTGAATTACTAAACAGGCACTATCTAAGTTCCAACAGTTGTTGATATTTTGTTGTTGTTAAATGCCATCAAGTTGATTCTGGCTCATAGTGAACCCTGTATAGGGTTTCTGAGAAGCAGCTGGTGGGTTTGAACTGCCAACCTGGCAGTCAGCAATCCAGTGCTTACCCTAGAGCACCACACCAACAGTTGTTGGTAGTATATCTTATTTATTTTACATACGCATATAGTTTATTCTTCTTTAAGCATAAATTGCATCATCATAGATACTTTTCCATAAACACTTCAACATTTATCTTTAAAATCTAAGGATAGTCACCCACATAGCCATAGTTCCATTATGACACATTAGAAATTTAGTAACTCCATAATTTCTAATCTAGAGTCAAAATTTCCCAGTTATCCTCTAAATATCTCTTTGGTGCCCTGTGTTTTTAGCACCCCCCTCCAAACCAATTAAGGTTCATGCACAGCATCTGTTTATTTTGTCTCCACAGTGTCTTAAAGTTCTCCCCTCTCTTAATGTCACAACATCCTGACATTGACTCTCTGTAGCCATCAGGCAAGTGGTCTGTTGGTGTCCCACATTCTAGATTTGTCTGATTGTTCCCTCGTGATGTTATGCCCTTTGTTTCTCCATCCCCTGAACCTCCTAGGCTTGGTGTGATCCCCACAAACCTCACTAAGCCTTCTTGAGGTTTCTTTCTCTGCTGGTCCTTCTCAGCAGAAAAAGAGCAGGTCTGAGAACAGGTCTGTAAGGCTTTACATGGTGCCTGGCAAATGCTCAGGATATAACAGTGCTTACTATTTTTCCCTGCCTTAGGCCAGGCATGTTACCCTGATGTTTGCTCCCAGGAAATTGTTTCCCTAAGGTCTCTCCTGCCCCCACAGCTGGGGCTCTTGGCTTTCTGCTGCCTTTATCATTGCCCATCTTTCTCTCCTCTCGCCCTCAGACAACACAGGTAGCTCCACGTATCGCCCACCTCCTCGGACCCGGGAGGTGATGATCAATGGGCAGATGGTAAAGCTGAAGTACTGCTTTACCTGCAAGATGTTCCGGCCACCCCGGACCTCACACTGCAGTGTCTGCGACAACTGTGTAGGTGAGTGGGAGCTAAAAGATGGGGGTAGGAATCCCTGATACATACCAAATCCTGGGGATGACCAGGATGGGGGAGATGGTCTAAAATATTGAGGGTGGGGCAAGAAGTCCTCTTCCCCAGATTTGCTCTGGCTGAGACAGAGCCATGGTGAGGGACTCTGAATATGGCCTGAGGTGTCCTGGCTTCAGCCCAGGCTTGTGGGTTCCTTTCCCCCAGCTCTGATGTGAGAAGTTCCCAACCCCTTCTCCTGGCCTCAGCTTGGTCCCCAGTATACCCAGAGGCTGGCACAGTTGTATTCAGATATGTTTGTGCTGAGAAGAGAATGACTCACCATCCAGTGGCCCAAGGCTGGCTACATGGAAGGACAAGACTCTGGGAACAGAGGAGTTTCAGAGGGAGGTGAGATGTAACCAGGGTTGGGATCTAGGCTCCTGTCCCATATCTGCAGTGGTTGCTGGGTAACCAGAGTCTGTTTGGTTCCCTCTCCCTGTTCTCCAGAGGCCACGTGGCTCTTATGGGGACTAGAGTGGACCCCTGGGAAGGTGTGTTTGAGGCCAGGTGAGCTGAGGCACAGTTGACTGTACACAGTTCCCAGAACAGTGAGCTTATGGCGCCAGCTCAGCAGTCCCCGAGCAGGACAACACTGGGGAACACCCCATGACGTCAGACCACAGAGTAGGTGATTCAGTGGGGCTCATTCAGCCCTGAGAATCTGCCCCACCCATCCAATGTGAACTGGCAGGAGGCCTGCAACAGACTTTTGACCCACTTTCCCACAGGGGACTTTCCTCACCAGTCTGGGTGTGCCCTACCCCCAGGCCACAGCACTGCTGCCCCAGGAGTCACTGAGTCCCCTAGACCTCTAGTTAGAGTCAGAGTCAGGGGTCCTTGGCTGTTGGTGTATAGCCAGGTAGTAGGTCAGACAGCATGTACTTTTTGTGGGTATTCTCTGTATCAGACACTGCACTGGACCCTAGGGCTTCAGCATGGTGTGAGGTCAACACAACCACTACCCTGAGGGGTGGCGGGGAGCTTATTGTCCAACTTATCGATGAGAAATAAATGGGTGAACACACACGGACAAATGCTGCCAGAGAAATGCCAGGCAACAGGGGCAGATGACAGGGATCCCCACCTGGCCTGGGGTCAGAGACTTTCTTTTTTTTTTTTTTTCTATTAATGTTTTATTGTGAATTATATGATAGTTTACATGAGAGAACTTTAGTTTTACATTCATTCCATTGTATATCATCTCATTGCCATGGT